AGGAACTATGAGGAAGGGCCTGGCCTCTGGGTAATTTTCTGGGCAAGTTGAGAGCTGCAGTGTCAGCCAGCAAGCTCCTTCTAGAAGGGTCCTGCTTTATTCCAACACCCCAGTTTTTCTTCTGGCAACAGCTTCTGGCTCATGGCACACCCTCAGACCTCATTTGTTTAGGGAATAAAATATGGAAAATTGAATCCCAGCCTACTCTTGGGGGGTAGGGAGGTAGATATATTTTTACCAGTGCAATGAAGACATCAGAAATTCATGTAAATTCTATACAGGTAATAAAAACGGGGGTGGGGTAGGGTGGGGTTGAAGTTTGACTTTCAGACTCGGGGAAAGTTTCTGTGTATCTTGGAAAGGCCTTGTTTTTGAATCCACTGAAGTGATAGAATGGGAGACTATATAGCCGATAAACTGTACTGGTATTAACAGGGACTGCCGTTGATATCCTCAATGACTACTGAAAATCCATATGCTCTTGGGAAATATTGGCTATAAAAATTTTTAACAAGTATCATCTCTCCACATATCTGGTGACATTACTGAACTTTCTATGATGTAGCCCCATGTGCATCGTTCAGCTTTTTAAAATACTATTTCATTTTCACCAGACCATCAGTAGTAATACTGTGAAAATTTAAAAATGATATCTACAGGGAAAAATGACCATGTTTTAAAGGGGCTGGTTCTAAGCACATTTCAAACCCTTTGTCTCTGGATCATTTTAAATTCTCAGTTCTTTCTTTAAAAATAAAAAAGAACAAAAACCTTTAGAGAGGCCTTCCATATCCTCACTAAACCTAGAAGTGGCCTTCCTGAGAGTAATACCATCTTGTTATAGACCTGTCTTCAGGGCTGGCTGGGCCTGTGCTCAGGCCTTTGATCAGGGGACTCTGGGCTCCTATTGTAACAATGCCTTCTGGTTCTCTGAAACAGGTAGGTGGCAGCCTCAGGAACATGGTCCCTGTGTGTATAATTTGTGCTTAGAAATGTAGGTGGTTGGTTCTTTTGTCTCAGTAAAGGGTACTAGCTGAGTGCCTGGAACAAGAAGCAGCAAGGAATATGTACTTTCTGCATAGACATATGACGTCATGCTAATTAAACTTATTTACTAAGAACAAGAATTCGCATGTGCCTCTTGGCCTGCGAGGGGTTGATACCAGCTTCCAAGAAGCACAGAAAACCTAGCAGATTCTGAAATCTGACCTGTATTTTAAAGTGGAGTGGTCTTTTTGTTTTTGTTTGTTTTAAATACAGGGCTGGTACTTACTCATTTCTCAAGTGTCCTGATTTAAATAGGTAAAACGAAGGCGCTTTGAAATCGACCAAATGGAACCATATTTAATTTGGAATATTTGCATGGGCACCCAGCACAGTGGTTACTCCAGGCAATGAAGCAGCAACTGAACCGTAGTGACTGGAGTGTGAAGGGAAGTGAGCCAACACCCTTGAGTCAGGAGGTCTGGAAACAAACTGTCACCTAGTCCTAAGATACATGCGCTTTACCGGGTTGCAGGTTGTTTTATTGATCATATGTTAATTCTCATTGAATGTGCTAAAACCAAACTTTCAATTAGGTTGCTACTACCTTTTTCATATTTTAAAATCTATTTTAATAGCAATTTCTGACACTTTCCTGCATTTCAGTTCAGGTAAATGGAAAACCCTTAATAAGTTGACAATTTCAGTATTGTTTACTATGATGCCAAATGCAAACAGGGAGCTGAAGATCATTTAAGCGAGCAAACAAGTGGGGGCTGTTTGCCAGTTGTGTGTATACTGGATACCATAATCATCCAGCAGTGCTGGTATAATTTTCGATGACAGTTTCGCAGAGATTTTTTATGGTTTTGGGAATTTTGTGACAGAGCAGTTAGAAGCAGCCAGAACTCCATCTCTTCCTTTTCTGATCAGCTCACTGAGTTCAGCATGTAGGAGAGTCATCTGACCAGTTCTGAGACAGAGCCCAGCATCTATACTGTTGGTGAATTGTGACTCAGAATAAAGTGCTCCACAGGCTGCATATTGAAAAGGTCTCTCTTGATGCACAGTGTCTGCGGAATTATGCTGCTTCCTGATGATACTCAGTCATACAGGGATCCAATGAGTATAGAGCCCAGGGCCTAAAAGACATCCAGACTACAGAAGATAAACTCTAAGGTCTTCAAGTAACTGATTCAAAGATAAGAAATTAAGCTCACTACAATAGTAGCATCTTTGGAAACATTCCCCACAATGTGTATTTCCATTCTGACATATTTAATTGCAATAAGTAATACTGTGGGGATATACAATGCTTTTTTAAATGTGTTCATTTTTCTCTATATTATAGCTGAGTATTTGAAAATGCTTGTCAAGATATTTTCAGAGAGGAAAATACTAACTTTATATATTAGGTGTTAAGGCTAATGTGTAAGAAAACAAATGCACTGGTGAGCCAAAATAAACCCTTCCTTCCCCTCCCCCACAAAAAGAAAGAGAATTGGAATCTAAATACGGTTTCACTGAGGGCTATGGCAGTACTGAGGTAATTATGCATTACTGTTTTAATTATTTAGGTCAATTTGAAGTGTTATATCCATTGCCAGTAATTTTCATAACTGACTTTGCCTTCCTTTGTTATTTTTCTCTAAGTAATATTTGTGAAAGCAAAGATTATGTATACTTATAATTTCTCAATACTTTCCATAAATGTTAAAGATGAGCATCTATGTCGGACTTAATAATCACTTTTTACACCAGGCTCACCCACCTGTCCACTTTTATGAAACAAATGCAAAAAATCGGTAGCTTGCACCTCAAGTGATTTACATTGTACCTAGCAGAGCCAAGCACTCCTGTTAAAAATAAGAGAGGCCACGAGACCTTCAGTTGTTGGCAAGGTCAGATGTTTTTAGAGAGCTGATTTGTAGAAGTAACCATACATTATTTGCACATATTGATCCAGGGCTATTTCTGCCAACCAGCTTTATGTATCGAAACAAAACTACAGCCATCTTGAAGACAGAAATCAGGGTGGGGTCTCTGTGTCACTGAATGCTGCTGTACCATTCAAAACATTTTAGGAAGATTTCCTCAAGTGGTATAGGAAAATATTTATAAACTAATGATGGACCTGTGAAAAAAGATACAGGGTGGTCTCAGCTTTGTAAATAGAATCTGTGTTGGGTGTTGGTCTGATGCTGCTTTCTGAATGCTGAATTCTGTACCCCAAGATCTGGTTGCCTTGAGACAAGCGAATTCTGATATACCCAAGCATTTGTTGTATAGACATTGCTCCCCAATTTAAAACTACTGGTTAAAAAAAAGTGGCTACAGCCAATTACTGGAAAGAATAGAAACAGGTGGAATTTCAGTCACAGGTAGGGACCATGAGGAATAGAAGAGAAGATGGAGAAGGGGCTTGAAGGAGGAGGAAGACAGAGTGAACAGGAGGTCTCCATTAGATATGATGGACCAGGAGCACATGCCTGAGTGAGATGGACCCTGAGTACAGGCTGGTGGAGCAGGAATAGCCTGGGAGAAACACAAACAGCAAATACTTTGGGAACACAGATGGGAAAGTAGCTAGTCTAGCATTAGAGACTTAGATCAAGGGTAATCAACCGGTAATTGTGCAAAGCTAAATGAATAAATCATAGTCTGAGTCTCACTCATTTGGAAGCTAGGTGGGGATAGAAATAGCTAACTAATTAACAAATCTGCCACCATGTGGTTGTTGGGAATTGAACTCAGGTCCTCTGGAAGAAAGCAGTCAGTGTTCTTAACTGCTGAGCCATCTCTTCAGTTCTTCACTGGCATATTCTATATCAGTAAGAAGCTTCTTATCTTCTTTGGTGGAAAAGGCCTAGTCTCACAATGGCCTCCAAAGCACTGTGTGTTCTGGATCCTCTGTCTCTCTGATCTCAGCTTTGTTTCCTCCCTTTCTACTTTAATTCCTCTGCACTGGCCAGGTATATTAGTATTGTGAGCATGTATCTGTTTCAGAGGGAGGGATGTCCAAAACTGTTTACCGGAAGATTCTCCTTCCAGTCCTGTGTCTTGAATTAGAGCCTCCCTGCCTATCTGCCTCCAGATTCTTCATTCATGTTGCGGCTTTATTTTTGTTTCCTTTATTTAAGCATTTATCTCCCCGTATTGATGATACCCTCTGCCCTTCGAAAGTAAGGGTTTCATTTGATTTATCTTGAATGCTTATTGCTCAGTCCAGTCCTTCTACAACGAGTAGCCAGCAAGCATCTGAGCAATGAATGAAGGACACTTCTCCCTTTAAGTCCCTTTCCACTCTTACATTTCATCTTTATCCTCTCGTGGTGGTTTTTTTGACCACATCTGTGCACCATTGCTTTGCTACTCTGTTTTACAACCTTGGCATTCCTCAGTGGTGGCCACTCCTCATCTCAGCCGCCCTGTGACTTGGGTATGTTTGGGTACCATTTGAGTCTGCATAACCACTTTCTCTTTCTCAGCATCTGCCCTGGCTCAGCCAGATTCAACTCTCATCTTTTTAGTTTTCAAACTTTTATTGTTCCCAAAGCAATAGAATATACTATTTCCTGTTTGTAAGAAATTAGGTAAGGATGCTGCCCATATCTTATGCAATCTCACGTTAAGAGGAAAATGGACTTTGCAAGAAATGGAAAGACAGAACGAGAGAGACCTAAGGACTAAATATGATTACTGGCCTCAGAGTAAACTCTGAATGTATCGATTTCATTCATGAGGAACGTTTTTCTCCTTAACTCAGTCTTCGTGAATGTTTGAGTTATTAAAACTGAAACGTAATTTTAAGTGAAATCAGGTAAATGTTTATGATGTCTGAGTGGCTATTCTATGACAGGGTATGTATGGCTTAGCAGTCTTATCTAGTATCTTACCTAGTGACTCACAGCTCTGATCTTGTTGTTCATAGGTCATTCCAAGAAGCACTGAATGGCATATTCTATCAGCGACTGGAGCAGAATAGCGTATCACACAGATGTGTGGTGTATGGTTACCTGGTTATGAATTTCCTCTCATTGACAAAGATCCAAGAAGGGAATTGGTCATCCATTGCTGTCATCCTTTCTCTCTTCCCAAGGTGATCTGAGGATGCCCTGAAATATTAGAACAGAATTACTGCTCTGCTGCTGGGAGACATCCCTAAGTTAGTCTCTTACTTAAATTGGATATTTGCTTATGTCTTTAATGTACATGAGAAAGTTTTAAATCTGCATCAGGGGTTACAATCCTTATACTATAGCAACCTAATCCAAAGTGTCTGGACCCTGGAAATGGACAAGATTCCAGGTACTGAAGTCAAGTTCTGGCTAGAGAGCTGTCTACATATGATGCAATACCCTCCAACTCTCCTGCAAGTGCTTGAACCTGAGATCAGATATCATCAATCATCTCTGTTATGAGTTCATATATATGGCACTAGGGTGTGAGCCACAAGTATTAAGCATATTTTCTCCTTAGTCTGCTTTGCATAAATACATATGCAATTATCATTGCTTTGAGCCTGAAGAATCACAGGTACTATGTTCAGAATCAAAAGCTGGGCTGGAAAGAAAATTTCAATTTTCTTAACAAATGGAACCTAGTTAGGATATTTTTTACTTTTATAGCAGACTGTTCGGGTAGGGTAAGAAGAATGGAAGGCATTATACATCCTGATTCCCTGGGATACCAGGAGTGACAGGAAGAAAAGAGGAGAGGAGGAAGAGAGAAGGAGGAAGAAGAACAAGAACAAGAAGAACAAGGAGAAGGAGAAGGAAGGAAGGAGGAGAAGGAGAGGGAGAAGGAGAAAGAAGAGGAGGAAGAAGAGAAGATATAGAAGAAGAAGAAAAGAAGAGAAGAAGAAAGAAAAAGAAGAAAGGTGGAGGAGAGGGAGAAGGGGAAGAAAGGAAAAGGAGAAGAATAATAGTTAAATGGTTACTCCACTAGTATTTAAAATCCCTGCTATCCTTTTCTTTTGAACTCTTTACAATCTGAGTAGTTTACTGTGGTCTTTTAAAAAACATTTCTACAGTTCTGACCATTACATCACTCTCTTGGTGCCAACCTTCTAGGGTTTCCTTCTTAGTACACATAGTCTAAGTCTCTTAACCTGGCATTTACGTTTTCTTTACTTGTTCTCAAACCTATCTTTACAAACTCAGCCCTGAAGCACTTCTTCAGTGACAGGCCTTGTATAATGAAGTTTCATACCATCAAGTTTCCCCTCATCTCTTCAGCTTGATCACAAGGCAATCTTCACCACAGGTCCCGATGTCTCACATGGGGACACTTTTCAAGTCTCTACACTGCTGCTTTGTCTGCACCACTCTGATTCTGGCTTTCTGCTTCCAAAATTGTCGTTACTGACTTACGTTTCATGTCCTTTTGGGCTTTCCTTGTTCAAATCATGGCTGGTGTTCTACTTAAGAATATTCTTTGATGGCACACATTGCCCAAGGCCTGTCCTGGAGGACTCACCCCAGAAGGGACAAATTCTAGCGCAAATCATCTCTGTGCTACACTGTCTTCCCACAAAGACACAATTTGTCCTCGAGCCTAACGATTTGCAGTTATGAATTCCCTGGATTTGGCGGATCTGAATGTCTGGCTATATAGACCTTGCTTTAGTGTCTAAACCCAGAGTGTTGCTTTTATATCTTTTCATTCTTAGAACCTACCACAGAGCACTGCATGTATCCCATACCAAGGTCCACCAGTGATGGTGATGTGGTCCAAATACTACCTTCTCCTTCCTGGATCAACTTTTGGGTCATTTACCATCTATTGGTTTAACTTACCCCATCCCGTGCCTCTCCTCCCACACCTGAGTACTTTGCTAAATTGTCCATTTTGTCTGCCTCATAGCAGCATTAGGTGAGACTGATTTTTCTCTTTCCCTGGTACACTTTCTTCTTAGGCTTCTGAGACGAAACAGCAATGGCAACTTTGTTCTATTTTCCTGTCATCTCAGGGCTCTCAGCATCTTAGTCTGTTCTGCTGACTTCCTTATGTACTTTTTAAATACCAGCAGCTTCGAGAGTATATTCCAGTTCCACTTCTCTAGCTATATTTCCAAGCAAACAATTCCGCGGACCAACCACTCAGCTCCTGTTAGAACAAGAGTTCTAGACTCATGCTACCACCTGGTTTCTATTAAAAGGCTAACAGCATTGTCAGCCACATGGATGTAAGAGAAGCATCAGTTTCCTCTCAACTCTACTACTTCCTGCTCCACAGTTCTTTCCCATCTGTCCAATGAGGCTCCCTTCTATCACAAACACACATAAGTTCTCTTTGACTGTACTTTTAATATGACCTGAATTCAAGACCTGGAGAGCTGTCTTGTCCACTGTTACACACGATGACCCACAAGCCATCATCTATAAGCCAGAGGGCAAATTCCCGTCAAGCACTGAGGACATTTGGAAGTGAAGGCTGTCAATGGAAGTGCCATGTGACATCACAGTCAAAAGAAGTGATGGGTCAAAGATTCACTGCAGCAACTTTCCATCGGTTCCATCTCTGTGCATTTGTAAAAAAAAAAAAAAAATCTGAAATACCAATAAGGAGGGCAAACCACCATTGTTGAAGTATTCCATCAGACAGTGATCTGTGCTAAAGTAAAGCACAGCAGATAGGTTCCTAAGACTCTGGAAGATAGAGTCTTAGTAAAAGAAGGCTAAGAAGAGAATTTATGGACAAGAAGTTTTAAAAACTGTGTTTGTAGCTAGGGTGTGATCATTGAATAAAATTAATATTGAACAGGTATGATCCCCAAATTGCCTAATAAAATGTTGAAAGAGTTCCAATAACTAAAATGTAAGAGAATGATTGGTAACATCTCAGTCTCTTTGTTTACTCAAAGGGAAGCATGGATCTGTAAATTCAAATTTTTTTCTCCTCTCTCTTAGTCCTGATCACCATGACTCAGCAAATGAAACCTTAGGGCATTCTGATGAAAATCTTCCAAATTAGTAAGATAGGTTAAAGGTTTGAATCAGTTATCACAAAAAAAAAAAAACTGAGGAAGGAAGTAATAATACAGTCAGAAGCAGCAGAGATAAAGAGGATGAAGGAAAACAAGGAAGAACTGTAAGCCTAGAACTTTCTGAGGTCATACTTCAGTCATCTAGTTCTTTGATGGAACACAATGCTCTATGGCTTGAGAAGGAAGATGGTTGCTACAAACACTCGCTTTGCTTGGGCGGCGAGTTCTTGTCACTACCAGGCCCAGGGGCGAAAGTTGATTAACTTTAGATTACGTGCAAAATAAGAGGACTGGTTTAATAAGTTTGGTTATTTACTTTTCCATTTTGCCCCATAGGATGGATTTCAAGAGACAGAAAATTTGACAAGGCAATCAAGTCTTAGAGAGCCCTGGGGACAACAGGCAGGTTTAATTAAGGGGAGCAGGGAAGGATGATGCCCAAGGAAGTAGAATCATTCTTAGCTGGCAGATGGATCTGGAGCCTTCAGAGACGGTGACAGACAGCATCAGTGTGTGGGATGCCCTGGGAACTGAGAAAATAATGAACAGGGATTTGGGGTTCACTTCCTCCAGCTCTGTATTCCTGCTTACATGTAGGCATGCCTGGATTTGCCAGTTAGCAGAATGAGGCCAGAGGTGCAGGGAGGAGGAAAGGAATTCAAGTCCCAGTGAATGCAAATAAACTAGTCAAAATACCTTCCAGTGCCTAACTATGGATGCCTTCAGTGGTTACTTATTTAAAATTGGACATTTTGTTTCACTCATTTGAATATCCAACCAAGTGTTTCTTGAGTGTCTGCTTCCATGCCGGGTATAGAAATGTAGCCTATATCTGAATGTATAGCCAGTGGGTCAGGTTCTTTGAAAAAGATCGAAGTAGAAAACCAAAGCAAAATATTGCTTATACTCTAAGTCTTCACTGGCTTCTGAATTTTTATAATAAATTACTCACAGCTTGCCAATCATTTAACTGTCCTCTCTCCTTATTTCCCCAGACCTTGTTTTCGTTAAGTTGACTATGAGATTCTTCTCTGCAGGATTGTTACTATGTTTTCTTCAATTAGAGTCAGTATATGAAGCATACATATAAAAATTTATAAAATATTAAGTATAGTCAACCTATAGGGAAACATTAAAGTATTAATAACAAAAATTAAGGGCTATAAGAGAATGACTTTCCTTTCCATTTCATATGTATGGTTTTAAAACATATGTAAGAAGCTTATCTCACTGTACACTTCTGCCTACAATAAAAGTAACTAATAAACAAAAATAATCCCAGAAGTATCACATGGGAAGAGGCACTATACATTTTAATTATGAGGTAAGATTATATTAAGGTCTATAAACATGGCATTTTTTAAAAGAAAAATTTTCTAGCTTTGAGAAGCAATGGGAATGTACAAACATGTACTTTGTTCTAAAACAAAGATGTTTTCTCAAAACTTGGAGGCTGGAAGAGCAGAGCTGCAAGCAATTACCTCTTAGGGGAAAGGAGACTTAGCCCTAAGCTGTCTGTAACTCCATGCATTATCCGGTTTCTGAAATACGGAAAAGAGTTCATAGAAATATGATTTCCAGGAAATGCTTGGCTTCATATTTTTCTCTCCTACAGTAGCTTGGTTGTAGAGATGACTGACAGTTGCCTTGGAATTCAAGGGCGGCCTTGAATTCCTGATCTTCCTTCCTCCACCTCCTAAATGCCGCGATTACAGGCATGTGTAACCACACCTGGCTTTAAACTTTTTTTTTTATTTTAACTCGTGAATTTAAGGCAGTATTAAACAGGGTATGGATCCAAAGACTGGACTTCCGTACGAGCAGGCTCTCAGTTCATACGAATGTCCCTAAACTCTACTGCATGGCTCCATAGCAGTCATGCAACGTTCTGTATTCTTCTCAAAGTGCCTTGGGGACAAGTAGAAAACAGGATAAGAAGAAAAGGCAAACTGATCATCAACTGGAGACTTCAGGCATCTTCTTCCCCCTCAGCCAGCAACTGCTACTGTGGCTCAAGGATTCTCTGCTGTCTCTGAGGTTCCAACAGGAAATTCTAAAAGTTGATGTCCTGAGGATCATGACACACTTTTCCTATTCACTCACTGGCTGTAAAATAGCGAACACTTTTTCTTTTGAGCCTCCAGTGACTGGGTCCTGAGTAAGGATGAGTGTCGCCTTCCACACAGTCTGGGCAAGAAGAGCCTTCCCTATCTCCATCAGCTGGAATCAGGATACCAGCTGCTAGGGAAGCTAACTATTATTGGCAGTTTTGAAAGACACAGATTCATCATTCCGAAAGAATAGTTCTCTACCATAGATTCTAATGGAAGAGAGAGTACTGAGATGTACTTTTCAGAAGCAATGTTTTCAACACTTGAGTATTTCATTTTTATTTTGCTAAGACATATTTTTCTTTTTACACATGAGTATGGATTGCGTTTATATCATTTCTACCTACTCTCTCCCATGACTAACTTTTCTCATGCTACCCCCCCCCAATTCACAATCTGTCCTTCTTTAATTGTCATTATTCACGCACATGTACATAGCTGTAACTATAAACACAATCGCTGAATCTGTCCTGTGTCACTTGCATTTGCCAGCTACTCATTTGCTAGAGGGTTAATATCCAGAATATAGAGAACTATTTAAAAAACCCAAGGAGTCCAGAAAACAAATGAGCCAGCTAAAAACAGGACACAGATTTGTCCTAGTTTTCTCTCTATTGCTATGATGAACACCATAACGAAAAGCCATGTGGACAGAAAAAGATTTATTTCTGCTTACAGTTTCTAATCCACTATGAATGGGAGTCAGGGTAGGAACTCAAGGCAGGATCCTGTAGATAGGAATTGAAGCTGAGACCAAGGAGAAATGGTGCCTACTTGCTTGCTCCCTATGGTTTGCTCAGCCTGATGTATATACATATGTATGTATGTATATATGTATGTATGTAGGCATATAAATAATTATAACTGTATATTATTATATATGTATACATACATGCATGCATTAAATATATTTTATTAAATAATTACATATAGATTATATATAATTGTATATAATTTATAATATAAGTATATACTACATATATAAGAAATTTTATATACACACATTTTATATATATATATCCATAGTGGGATGGGCTTTCCCACATCAATTGTTAATCAAGAAAAATGCCCACACTCTTGCCTACAGACCCATCTGATAAAGGCAATTCCTCAATTGATATTCCTCAATTCCTCTTTTCAGATAGGTCTAGGTTTGTGTCAAGTTGAGGAAGACTAACCACACAAGTCCCCACCGAGAGCTCTCAAAAGAAGAAAGGAAAATGTCTAAAATACATCTTCAAAAGTGTTCAACATTCTTAGCAATTAGGGAGATGCAATTTGAAGTTACTCAGAGGTTGCGTTGTATTCCAGTCAAAACGGTGGCCGAGATCAAGAAAACAATCAACAAGAGATGCTGGTAAAGATATGGGAGACAGGAATCGCACATTCACTGTTGGTTAGAATGCAAACTGATGTCATCACTGTGGAGTCCAGCGTGGAGACTCTCAAAAAGCTGAAAATAAAATTACCACCTGACCCAGCTACACTACTCTCTGTCCCCCGCCCAAGGACTCCACATCCATCCCATAGACACTTGCTCAGCCGTGTTGATTGCCTTTATTCACTATAGCCAGGGAAAGGAAACAACCCACATGTCCTTCATGCTATGTTATTTTCACTGTTATACTATTTTAAATATAACTAGAAAAGTTCATTATTTCTTATACACTCTCACTATTTTCCTCTCCAGTTGATTAGAACATTCTTTAATTGTAATAAAGGGTTATATATCCTGGCAATAACAGATAAACATATATGTATAGCGTATAAGTTAACTAGGAAGACAGTTTTTTTTAATGAGGTTAAAGAGATTCATCTCAATATTAAAATAGTAAATATAGTCCAACAGATTTATCTTACATAGGGCAATATATATATTGATACATCATTAGGAAATGTAAAATCAAATACTTTAAATTGTATTCAACAGTTTATATTCAGTATAATAGATGAAAAATGTTAGTTATTATTCTGAGTCAGTCTAAATAAATCAGATTATTTTATAAGCTAAACTGCACTAGTTACTGCTAGATCCCAGAAGACAATAGCACAACAAACTTCAGTTGGTTTGGCTTTAGAAATCTACCCATAATTCTTCAGTCAATATCTCATTAGAAGTGCATAAGGAAATTCAAATTCTATAATGGAAAAAGCAAACACTGAAGATGATGATGATTTGCATTGCAAACCATTTAGCAACATTCATAAAACTCATAGCACAAGCCACAAAAGTGTCCTTTACACAACGCCGTATAAAAGAAAGCCACTTCCTTGTGATTTAAACCAAAGAGTTAGAAGCTGACAAAGCATGGGTACCAGACTGTTAGAATATAAAGGAAAGTCACCGTCATTTGACTGTAAGCCATTCAATATGTGAAGGGCTTGGTCCAGATGGTCTAATTTGATGAAAAATAATTCAAATGCAGTCTTTCATGTGAGACTTAAAGGCCAGGAAAATCCAACATAAGATATTAATTCTCCCACTACAGATGTTTTTATTTCCTCAGAAATAAACACGAGTTTCACAAAATAAAAGTGGGTAACATATAAGTTTAAACTGGCCACTAGGTACGCTAAACACTTGGAAGCGTGGAGAAGCTAGGCAGTTTTACCGATACAGAGAGCTGCTGCTCACTCGTGGTCACCAGCTCAGTCTCACAAGCACTGTTCTCTTCCAGCATCCACAGAGTCTGGGGTTGTCTGCCCAGCTCAGGTTAGTTTTTCCTCCCCAGTACCCATTTTACAGATCTGCAGATTTATGGGTGGTGACAAACAGTGCCATTTGCCAAAGACCTGCTACCTGTTTAATCCCCACCAAAGCCCCCTGTGACACACGATATCATGCTTGTTTTATAGACGGCAGACTTTTGAGGCTTAGATAATAGGAAGTAACATTCGAAGTGACAAACCAGTAACAGACACAAGACTTGATCCTATGATTCTCCAGATTCAGAATCTTGCTAACTCACGGATGTCCGTGTGATTACGGTTATCCTAACATTGTTTGGTGAGGTCTTCGTTATATCCCAATCCCTTTTCAGCGAGGGTGATTTGCCTTGAAGAAACAGACATTTAACTGACCCCTCAAGTCAAAGGCTCTTTCCTTAACGATGTATTACAAACTTGAAGTGCAAGAAAATGAAGCTGAGATAAAGTCAATGAGCTGGCTCTTTGGGAAAGGGGAGGACAGGGTGGCCTTGCTATTCCAAACGTTCCCCTTTACTCTCTCCCACCCTCCTCCCAGACTTACCTTGTCCAGGAAAGAGTATACTGAGAAAATTCTGATTTAAGGCCAACTCACACCAGGACTGAAGTAGCGCTGATGCACACACTGGTTTACCCTTCCTGACTGTAGATTCCACTTTCTCTGGACCTGCTTTCAAATGCTCCCCGCACCCCTACCTGCTGTGTGTGTGTGTGTGTGTGTGTGTGTGTGTGTGTGTGTGTGTACTGTATGGGGTTCTTCCCTTCCACCTCCAAGTTCACCTGCTATTGTCACGCGGGCAAAGGAGACTCTTGTGATCGAGCAGCGAGGAGCCTGAGGTGGTGGGCGTCCCTTGCAGTAGTGGGAAGGCGGAGCTGCCCGCAGGTGTCCAGGCGTCCTTGTCACTCACCTGATCACTCACCTGCTCCGAGCAGAGGCAGGCAGGGTGGAGGACGCATGGCTGACTTCACAGTGCTGCTCCCGGCACAGTTTAGCAGCCCCAGCGGCAGTTAATTATTACTAGGCTGCCCATCGCAGGGGGTGTGAGCCACCTGAGCCACGCCCAGCGCCTCAGTGCATGTTGGGAGTGTTTACTCTGTCTTTGCGCGGCCGGCACCCTACTCTCTGGCAGGGTTCTGCAGTAGTGGACTGACGGTGGGGTCCTTTGTCAGTGACAGGTTGCATGATCTTTGCCAGCCATCTGTGCTGTACATAAAACAGCACCGGTTAGGATTCTCTGCGTTTTGTTTTTGAAAAGTTAATTTGTCTTTCAGCTTGAGATTTCTTAATTTTCTTTTCATTGGTCTTGGCTTCCTGCCAGCACCTTTGCACCTAATACTTTTTTTTCTCACACCCTTAGGGTGCGCCAGAACCTTCTAGGCAGTTTGCAACACCTGGGCGTCTGCCTGGCCTGACCACCTGACTTAGTGGGTCTTGGGTAGCCTTATTATCATTTCAAGAGAAGATGAGGCAGGGTTGACTTGTGTCCTCTGAGGTGGAATGCTGAATGAACGGAATGTCTGACAGTGATGCTAGAGACACAGTGCTTGTTTGATGAGTCTATATGGTGCCTTCCAGATTTTAAACTCACGAAGAAAGGGTCAGACAGTTGAGTTAGCCTGTGGCCATTGAGAAAGATGAGGGGCTTTGAAATTTAGCAGGCATTGGTCAAAAGAGGTATCGGCCAAGCCCAGGAATTACTTGTACTGGTTTGGCCACGTTGGCCCAGATATCCTGGTGTGTGGTTGCTAGTGTCGACTGACCTTTGGATGATAAAGAACAGGACCTGCAGTGTTTACAGCTCCTGCTTCTACAATGTCTTGCTCAGATCCCGGCTGCACCCAGTCACCTGTGCTCAAAGGGATCTCCTGTTTGTTTTCAGTGTCTGAGTAACACTGTTTCTGCCTTTATCTGCGGCCTTCCAAACGGACCTCTTTGTCCTTTGAATACTTTATCCTCATGTAGAAGTATAGTTTTTCTATATAATGTAAAGCCATATAACATGTACACTGTGAAAATTTTAGAAAACACAGAAATGCAACAAAAATATTTACAATTCTATCTCTGAAATAAAATCGTAAGCAATGGGCTGATTGTCATGACTGAAATATTTACTCTGTGAACAAATCTAAAGGTGGCTGCATAGTTTGCTGTTATATAACTTACCTTTATCTCATAAAAGACATTGTGAACAATTTACCATATGTCAGATTGGGTTATTTTTTTTTCTTACAGTATGTTTTAACTAGCGGCACTGTAATATACCATATGCATAGACCATTATTTATTTAAGCAGTTCCTTATTGTGAAAAAGTTTTACTTCTAAATAACACTACAGCAAATGTTTGTATATAATTGTGCCAAACCATGGCTATGACCTTACAACCTTCAAAGTGTAGTAGCAGGAGGAAAAGGAGCATATACTTTAAATTATATTAAAATTTATTTTACTTTTATCTTATGAGCATGGGTGTTTTGCCTGTGTGTGTGGACACCACCTGCTTTTTGTGTCTGCTAGGATTAAAAGACGGTGTTGGATCCCCTGAAACTGGAGTTACAGACAGTAATCTGTATGTGGGTCACCATGTGGGTGCTGAGAACAGAACCTGGGTTCTCTGCAAGAGCAACAAGTCCTAAGTCCTTAGCCATGTCTCTAGACTCTAAAAGTTTCTAATCCAAAGAATAATTTATTGATTGTATAATCCTAGGATAATATGTGGTCATGAGTTATTGAACTTCTTTCCAACTTTTATCAGTTTGAAAGTTTAAAATTCATATTTTATTTTACTTTTGAGACAGGGGTCACTTGATAGCCTATGCCAGTCTCCAACTCCTGGTTCTTCAGTTCATTTCCTGAGTGGTGGGATGCAGGTTCATACCCTCCTCAGCTGATACCTGTGGTAAACGTGTACAGAATTAGTTACTAGTAAAATCCAAGTCTTTCTTACATTAAACTTGTGCATTCTTTCCTTTGTTTTGGAAATTTTCTCTTTGCTCATCTTCCCCTTCCTTAAAATGTGTCTTTACAGAGGAAGGCATAACAACTCTTTGTTGGATACACTGTGGCTTTACTTCCCAGGCTTTTTGTTTATAGCCTAGTCTTATTTGTGACATTTTTGACACATGAAAGTTTCAAAAAAAACCCAATCAAATCTATTTTCTTTGTTATTTTGTAATTGAACTTCATGAAAAGCTTTTCTGTTCATGTATGTGTTTTCTTCTAGGTTTTTCTTCAGATATTATTTACTCATTAAATTCTACCCATCTGGATAGCTTAAGTTAAATAGGATAAAACTTAAATCTTACCTTATTTTTCTAAGCTCCTCCACTTTTAAATAAGTTGTAGTCATCAAATCATACAAAGTATTGGTTCTATATGAAGATGGAGATCCTGTCTGTGTCTTTAGTTCAGCCCCTAAGCCTAGAACAGGGCTCGGCAGGCCGGGTCTTGGTCAGCCCTTCTCTTTCTCCTCCCATGTCCAGCAAATTGGCAAGTCCTGATATCAATATCATATCTCCACTGGTCTCACCCTACACCAGGCCATCATGGTCTTGGACTGGACACTACAATGGCTTCCTAATTGTTTTCTCTGCCTTCACTCTGTCCTGAAGCAGCTCATTCCCCACCTCAGCCAGCAGGATCTTTTATAGACTATTCCGATCACAGCATACTAACTTCCTTCAATAAGAGCCTTTCTCGAGGTTGCCCCATACATGTGGAATGAAATCTAAATTTGACCTCCTTAACTAAGCCATAAAAGATGTCACTCACCCCTTTCAGCTTCATTGATTCTCTGTTTTCCTGGTGCTTCCTGTACACTATTCTGTTCTCCAGGTTTAGCTTTTCTCCTGGGACAGAACAACCTTTTTCCTGCTGTACCGCCTTTGTACTTGGTACTGTGTCTGCCAAGAAATCTTTGCCCATTGTTCTTATTTTCCCTCAAATGCTATCTTCACAGGGAGGCCTTCCTGATGACACCATTTTGAAGAAAGTCTCCATTCTGTCTCTACCTCAGCACCCTTTTTTTTTGTTGTGTGTATGATGAGTCTCAGGTATTGCTTAAACACATCTCACATTTCAGGTATTTTTTTTTTAATCTCGCATATTCTCTCATTAAAAGTTCTAAGACAGTGGTAATCTAAGTCTGATGCTCTGATGGTGTGAGTGACAGGTCCCTATAGCCTCAGGCATTTGAACACTTGGTCCCAGTGGGTGGTTCTGTTTGAGGAGGTTTAGGTGGGATAGCCCTGATAGAGAAGTGAGTCAGAGAGGGTGGGCTTTGTTACTAAAATCTTGCCTCCACTTAGAATTTTCTCCCTTTGCTTTGTGCTTTCAATCAAGGATTCGAGCTCACAGCACCCTCCCCTGCCGTCACACCCGCTGCTTGCTGCCATCGGTCCTAATCATGATGGATTCATCTCTGGAAGCGTGAGCCCAAAGAAACCCTTCCTCCTATAAGTTGCCTTTATCATGGTGCTTTATCACAGACACAGAGGAGTGACTGTTTTTGGTCTCCAAAGTAATGCCAGACCCATGCTAGAGGCTCAAGAAGCCTTGTATCAACACATAAATAATGGTGACAGTATATATGTTTTGGAATAGACAAACGTACATCATAATGGTTCCGCATTTGAAATGGCAATTTCTGCAATAAACAGATATAAGGTGGAACTAGAATTTACATCGGCTTTTATGGCACTGCCTATCTGCAGTGTCACCAATCCTATACCATTGGCTCTATAGAACAACTCAACCTGACTGTCACTTCTAAAGATTCCTTGATAATTTTTTGCCTTGTAATACCACGAATAATGGCTCCCTATAGAATACTAAGAGTTAGCTCCATTTTTACTCTCTTAACCATGAAGCTTTATCAAAATCTTCTAGGCCTAGTATATGAACATTAGGAATTGATAGTTTCAGGTTAAAGAAAGAAAGGCTTCTAGAGTAGTTTCCTTGGCTGTTGAATTCTTTTTTGTTTTTCACTTAGGGTACTGATGTGAGTGTTGGAATGTTACTATAACATGACTATTGACTAATGACTACAGTAATGGATTTGATTTTGTTATCCTCACCCCCTCCTCCCCCTTGTCTCCTTTGAATGGATTTATCTACACTAATTCTGGGATTGGTCTTGATACTTGTTTTGATCTATGGATCAGTACCAAACAAGGTTTAGATAATTTTATTGTTTTCCACTTGGACTTCCTGCTTTTGGTCTTAAAACTCACAATGATGATATAAACGAACCAGAGTTAGCATATGGATGACATAGCTTGGTTCAGTTGCCCAGTTACACCTGATCACAGCCTAGACCCAGAGTCCCGAGCCAACCCACAGCTGATTAAAAACTCACAAAGGACTACAGATACAAGAAAATTGCCTCACTGAGCACAATATACATTGTCAATCAATTGGAAATTTGAGCCACACTGAAGCTGATATTTTAATCCACTAAATTTGGGATGTGCTTTTCACGTACATATCTACATGCTCATCAATATATTAGTAATTAGAAAATAAGAAAAATATTTGGGTTGCAATGCACTCCGACCACATATAAAACTGAGGCAGAAAAGAAAGAGAAAAGAGATTTGGGTTATCATTAGGCTGAGTAATTTCCATAAGCTATGATGAAATGACTTCTGAAAAATAATTAGAAGTCACTATGACATGAAGAAAATATCTAGAGACAAATAATTGTCCATTTCAACTATGTGAACCAGCAACAGGGTTGACCTGTCAGTTTGGTTCATGGACTTACACTTTCATTTCCTACCTGAGTCTAGCTTACTAGAGTTCCAGCAGAAGCAGGACAGTCCTTGATAAAGGGGAGACTCCCAAAAAACCCAACTGGAAACCACCTTGCTCAGGAAGCTGTCTTTAC